CATCTAGAGTGTTAATCTAGTTGTGTTAAAGTTAAAATACTAGAGTGTATATTTACATACAGCTCCAGGTTTCTTTTTCTAAATTTTACACACTGAAAAATTATGGAATAAATAGATGTGAATTCAAGGTAGTATTACCAGTAGCTGCAGTTGTCAAATTCTAAATATTCAGTTTTTAAATAAATGAAGTTACTTAATATATATAATAAAGAAATTGATCCTTCTTACAATTTGAAAACTTTTTTCTTCGTATCTTTTCATGTCTCTTACTCAGACATTTCAATTAATCAATTAATTAAGGAAGAAATTTTAAAGAGAGAAATAGGCGATTTCTAAACCCTCTGGCTGAATTGATTTAAATTGATTTCTTATGCATGACAAGCTTTGTGCAACTATTGGAACAGCCTGATTGGTAATAACAGGTGATTTCTTTGCTTCAGAGCCTTGCTTTCATGCACCATATGTACCTGTTTCAGCACTTTTGTGGATAAACTTACTGAAGTTTTAAAACTGTTGTACCAGGTCCATGAAGGAATATGGTACTGCATAAGGAAGGGATCCCATCACAATTATCAGTCACTAATAATAATATTGGAGGGCACACAGCATGTAAAAGCAAGGTTCTAAATTAAATACAGTATGCCACATGCTAAAAATTAAGAGCAGAAAGTAAATGCTGCAAAAGTTAATTCAGGATTGATCAAGGCTTTCTTTGTTTGGGAGATCAAAGACTATTGGTGGATGAGATGGCTTGTACTGGACTGTTACTGATGAGGCATTAACAAATGTCGTTACTCCATCTGTAGTTATTCCATATCCTACAAAGTGAATGAATGAATGAATTCCTTATTTATATTGCACCCTTTCTATACACTATTCAAAGGCGCAGTACCCCCCATCAATTTGATAGACACTACACAAAGATAGACGACAACACCGGGTACTATGTGCCCTACTCTTCGAACAGTGTGTGGGTTCTTTAACGTCCCACAAATTTTTTTATCACATACAAGGGCTTGTGAGACGGGACCTCCATTTATCGTCCCTATCCGAGAAGACTAGAAAGTCTAACCATTTGCAGATATTATTACAAAGGCAGCACTGTCTTCTCAGTTAATTAAAGACCTGAGTGTTGGTCCGGCCGGATTTGAACTCACAACCTCCCGCACGACAGTACGGCACTCTACCAATTGAGCTAACCAGGAGGCAGTTAAGAAATGTTATTCTGACTCAAACACATAAATTAAATGATTATCAAATATAATCGCATGAAAAAAATTAAATGTCATTACTCCATCTGTAGTTATTCCACACCCTAAAAAGTACCCAATTGAATAATGTTATTCTTACAAACACACAGAATAATGATTATTAATTATAATTACATGAAAAAATTAGATTAAAAGAAGTATTCAACATTTGATAATGATTGCATCATTTGTTCTGACAAAGGGCTAGTGCTAAATTATCAGCTTCAGATTGAAACTCTTTTTGGTGGCCAGATTTTACTTAATATTAATTACCTTTTATACCCCCCCACCAACTTACCCACTTTATTTATTTAATTTTTTTTTTTTATATATATATGTAAAGGTTCATGAAAAAACCCTCAACAGAATGATGACAACATTCAAAAACTTTACTCAAACTGACCATAACTGTTAGATTAACTTTATCATTCAATGAAAATATTACTCCAAAATGTTAACTTTGCTTTTTCACTGGCCAGGGGTGTCTGCTCAGAAAACAGAATTTACTTCACATTCAACTTTCCCACTCATAAAGGCAGCCATACATGTTCCCCAATTATCATTAGACAGTGCAAATATCACAACAGCTGGGT